ACGTTTTTCTTTGAGTTCAAAGGTAGGTGCAGCAATAGTTGAGTAAACAGTTGCAATCAAAAGTAAAGCAATGGTGAAATAGAATTTCGACAACATTTTAACAAGATTTTTAGAAAGTTTGAAAATTATGTGAATTGAAAAAACTGAGAAACGAATGAGAGTATTTTTATGCTTTGGAAAAAATTTTGTAATAGTACGTGGATTGAAAAAAAGGTGGAAATAAATTGAGAGTATTTATATTTTTTGCAAAAAATTCAACTCCATTAGTTAAAGATAATGATCTATATTCTCTACAACAATTACAGCACGATCATCTTAGATTATAATTAATCGATCAAAATTTTCAAATTTTAAGGAATACTGAATGTTATGTGTATCCTACATAGTGTCTCTAATGTAACAACGATGATATAAGAAATTTGTGAATTTTTTTTTTATAATAAACGCGATAGTTTTTCAAATTCCAAAATTAGAATTAGCAGACAATTAACTTATGAGATTATGTGTGTAACTAATTAATTTGAATTTCTGGTATTATCACAAATTAAATTATTTATACTTGTTGCTATCCTGCCGCTAACATAGTTTCCGCACAAGCTCTGGAATCAGGACTAAACGACAAATAGTAAAAGGTTGTCATTTATTGTGCTACTACCTATTGTTTAAAAAATCTTCTTGATGTATCAAAAAATTATAGGAGTATTAGATCGTCTCACCAACAATTATTTATAAATCGTATTTTATACAATTACAGTATATTTTTTATTGATGTATTTTTTTATCTAACGAATGCTGTATGAAATATTGCATTAAATAATTTTTTTTGGCAAATAAAATTTAATACAACGTGAATCAAGAACGATACTTTAAATGGCCAGCATTTATTATATGTTGTTTAGCCCTGTCTGGAATAGAATGTCCAAACTCATATATAAAATTTTTTATCATAAAAAGTTTTCACGCAATTTGAAATGCGATTTGTACAATGTAATTGTGATAATTAGTTCTGCATCATATTATAAGACAATTAGATGAGTCCGATACAGTACGAAAATCGTAGCAATTGTGATATTGTAACAAATGGCAATTGTGATAAATATAATAAATAACAATTGAAATGAATGTAACAATGATAATTCTGATAACGTAACAATTATAAACATATGCGTTTATTATTCTGTTATAAATGTCATATAAATCATGTTAATTTAAAATGTTAATCGCATTTTTATGTATTTATTGCTCATTTTTATGTATTTATTGCTGTATGTGGTTACATAAGTCTTGACTCTATACCATGAAAGAACGACAATTGTACTCGTAATTCTAAATTAGGAATTTTTACCCGCTGATTTTTTCACTATATAATCTATAATAAATTTTAAATATTTATTATTATGTAGGGTAAAATACAAATTTAATTTTAGAGAGTTTTAGTACTTAAGATATAATAAAAGCATCGGATGTATTATAATGTAGGGTAAAACGTAAACGGAACAATGTTGAATTTTATAAATCAGGTTGATCAGGGGTTGACCGATCTATTTTTTTATTTGAAAATTATTATGCAATTTATGAAACGAAAAGGACTTGAACTGAGGCGATGACTTGGACAGCCAAATAGAAAAACATTTAACAATCAGAGTTAGGGATATAACTAGAGACCACAGACAGATGCAATTACATAAAAGACACATAAAATGCGATTAAAATTTTCTAAATTTAGCTTATTTATGCGCCTCTAACGCGTATATTTTAAGCGAATAATAAAGCATCTGTATAATTGTTAAATTATCACTTATCACAATTGTTATTGTGATGATTATGGATTTATACATAAAATTGTGACCAGCAAATTTGGTCATCCCAGATGTACTACCTGTGATCTAAGCCACATGGTTTTGGTCGGCTGGCTTAGCCAGCCGACCAAAACATCAGCTAAGCGGCTTATATTTTTCCTTATGCCGGCCTAACTGATTCTTAATGCCGGTCTAACTAACTCTTAATGCTTGGCCTAATTAATTCTTAATGCCGGCCAAACTAATTCTTAATGTTGGCCTGTTTCCGCATTAGCCAGCCGACCATATTTTATCTGCTGGCTTAACCGGCTAAGTCGGCTTAGCCGCGGCTGTTTAGCCGGCTTAAAACACTAGTACTACCTTCCGACGTAGTACCATGCACGATTTCTCCGATTTTTACGATTTCTCTTATCTGAATTATCCTTATTATAGTGTCAATAAAAATTATAGGATAATAAAGAAAGAATAGATAATTAGGCAATTTTATATATTGTTAATTAACCGATTAGGTGATCGACTGAAAGTTGACTTTTACTCCTGAATCGATCAAACTTAGTCAATCGAGCCGAGTCGTTAGCAGAATGTGCACTCTAAATTTTACCGCTCTTTTTCGAACCTGTGTGATAATTAGTGTTGGGAATGAATATGAGTTTCAAATTAATCATTAGTTATTAATTTACTGTATTAGTATGTTAATAATTTATAAGAGTTAATAATTAATGCTGGAAATATTTATTTCATATGCAAATGATCCACAAGCATAAGAATTAAGTGAATTAAAGTATTAACTGCATGATATTCATAATTGTTGGCAATTGTCTTCATATTAATAACTAATTAATAATTTTTTACTATTAAGTAAACGTGCTTTCAAATTAGTGAGATCTTAGAATTTTATGAATCCTGCATACTGCATTATCTTGATAATATGCGGGAATCATAAAATATTCGGATTTAACAATCAGGTTACGTCAACTTAATTGTTGACATGCAGGATACAAATGCAGTAAATCGGGATTCAGCAAGAAATTTATTCGATTATTGTACTAATTCGAAAAGAGCGATAAATACACTCGCTAAAAAAAAAAAGCTTCGAATTGAGTTTAATACGCCTAAAAAGGATGTTATGACGATCCTGAGATCTAGGATCGGTCCTTAAAATACATGAAAACATGTGATTTTTATTACCTCATATTAGCCGAATAAGTAAATTAATCCTTATAATTTAATTGGATCGGGTTGGACCCAGGGCTAAAATGACATATAGTAAATGCCGGCCATTCTAAAAGTATCATTCTTGATTCACATTATATTCTAGTACATAATTATTTGCGACAGTTAAATTTTTAAGAATCAACAATCGACATTGGCGCAGCAAATGGCCGCCACTTACTATATGTCATTTTAACCTTGGTTGGACCCAGGTGGGTACGTTGTAAAGGTCGGGACCGGTTCTAGGCTAGAACTCGATCGGAAATACGTCACACGGTGGATCGGGTCTAACCACAACAACAACACCCTAAGTGGTAGGCTTCGAAAGAGGGCGTGGAATATTTGGCTGGAGTTTTAGGGCTAGTTAGAGGCCTGCATTGGGTCCCGCAGCCCGGGCCGGCCGGCAAAAAAATTTTACAACTGCGGGCCAATGCGGGCCTAAAAATTTTCAAAAATTTATAATAAATTTTGCGTGCTAGGCTGGGTTAGCCAGCCTGAAGAAAAAATTTATATATATGCGGGCCGGCAAAAAATTTTAAAATTAAGTAGGGGCCGGGCCGTGCAAACAAAAAAATTTTACAGCTGTTTTCATAAATTCTGGGGCACTTAAAAATTTATTTGTTTCCCGAAATCTCTTTGGTTTCGTTCTGTGAATTATCCAACTCTTCGAAAACTACGTCGCTATCTTCGGAACTTCAATCCGGAGACAGCGATGTAGTTTCCGAAGAGTTAGATAATTCACAGAATGAAACCGATGAAATTTCGAGGAAACGAATAAATTTTTAGATGTCCCAGAATTTATAAAAACAGCTGTAAAACTATGTGCGGGCCAGGCTGGACCACAAAAATAGGTAATTTGCAGGCCCCTAGAGCTAGTCTTGGATTATCCAGCTCGATACTTCAGGTCACGCGTCCCGATTAGGGATGTAAACCAAACCCGGTAGTAGAATCCCAAAGGTTTTTACTAAATTATACGCTTTTGTCGTAACCCAAACTATTTTCGGTCAAATCCCAAATCGAACACAATGGCGTTAAAGATTAGAATTGATTGGTCAATTACGAAATATTATCGGCTTTATAGTATAAAAAAATCCTTTTACTACTACAGTATAATTAATAATAGAAATTTATTGTAGATATAAAATAAATTTATTTATCGTATGGGTCTTATGTAACAACCCGTGCTTTTTCTGAAAGCTTATTCATACCGGTCTATATGAAAATCATGTGACACAATATTTTCATATAGACTGGTGTTATTTTTTTTTATACCGATGTTGTATTATAGCAAAAACCGAATTCGGTCTTTGCTAAACTATATACATATTAAATGAACAGTTAGGGCAATTCAAAATTGTAATAACTAGACAAAGACATAAAATAGGCCGGGCAATTTACAATTGTAATAGACTGGGCGAAGATATAAAATAGGCTGGGCAATTCAAAATTGTAATAAACTGGGCGAAGACATAAAATAAGCCGGGCAATTCAAAATTGTAATAAACTGGGCGAAGACATAAAATAGGCCAGGCAATTTAAAATTGTAATAAACTGGGCGAAGACATAAAATAAACCGGGCAATTTAAAATTGTAATAAACTGGGCGAAGACATAAAATAAGCCAGGCAATTTAAAATTGTAATAAACTGGGCGAAGACATAAAATAGGCCAGGCAATTTAAAATTGTAATAAACTGGGTGAAGACATAAAATAGGCCAGGCAATTTAAAATTATAATAAACTGGGTGAAGACATAAAATAAGCCAGGCAATTTAAAATTGTAATAAACTAGGCAAAGACATAAAATAAGCCGAGCAATTTAAAATTGTAATAAACTGGGTGAAGACATAAAATAGGCCAGGCACTTTAAAATTGTAATAAACTGGAGATTTTTTTTTTACAATTTATTAAATTGATATTTATTTATATAAAAATAGCATACAGAATTTAATAAAATTTACATTTTAAATAATACAAATAAAAAAAGGCAATTAATTATTGAAAGAAATATTCAATTTAATATCAAGTGGCTTCTTAGTAGCAGGAATTTGAATAATAATATTATTCGTCACTTCTTCTAATGCCTTTTGCTCTTTATTATTTTTTGCTGTCTGTACTAGTGTCTTTTGCTTCTTATTAATTCCTGCTGTTTGTACCAGTGCTTGATCATCATCATCATGAATTTCAATTACTTCATTATAATCATTATTCTTTCATAATGTTTTCAGGGATTTGTAAGAAGGTTGTATTTTCTCAGCTTGCAATCTTTCTTGGAGTTGGTAGGATGTTTCTTGGAATTGGTAGGAAGGCTGTGCTTTCTTTACTTGCATTTTTTCTCAGAGTTGGTTAGGAAGAAGTTTTGCTTTCTTATAATTTATCATAGAACTTTTAAATGGTCGCATAAGTCTTTGATTTATGTTTGAGATTGCATTGTTTTTTTTTGTTTATAATATTATCTAAAAAAAAATTAAAAAAATAAGTAAGTTATTTTAGAGAAAAAAAATTAAATATTATAGAAAAATAAATACTAGAATTTTTGGATGATGCTGATTTTATAGATTCTTGACTTGGATTAGATGAGATAGAGCTTTGACATAAAGTAGGTAAGATAGAGTCTTGATTCAGATTAGATGAGATAGAGTCTTGATGCAAATTAGATAAGGTAGAGTCTTGACGCAGATTAGGTAAAGTAGAATTTTGATTTGGTTTTGATATATTTGAAGTTACTATTGCTAGAGCATCTAAAAGATAAG